TGTATAATTTCAGAATTTTTTTGGAATAAAAACCACTGGGACAGTTACTGCCACAGCCAAATGAGGAACTCTTCTTTAGACGAAGTGGAAGGAGAGAACCATGCAGACGGTACACATCACGCTCTCCGTTAGCCTCCACCAGCTGACGTGTCATTTCATCTGTCAACATCCAATCAACTAACAGGACGGGCCTGCAGGATGTCTACATGCAGATTTCTTGCCACAAGACAAGCGAACAGCACAGTACCAACACCATCATCAAATACAAAGCTTACAGTGCAGTCAGTACCAATATAGTCAGTCAGTACCAATATAGTCAGTCAGTACCAATACAGTCAGTCAATACCAATATAGTCAGTCAGTACCAATACAGTCAGTCAGTACCAATAAAGTCAGTCAGTACCAATATAGTCAAAAACTTGCGGAAGCACGCATTCTGCTCCCGGAAAAATCCACCTATAGATATATACGTCAATGTAAACAATCAAGGTACACACACACACACAAACACATTTTAAATATATATATATAATACTCATTGATGCCCAGACACACAGAAATGATAAATCACCAGCCAGTAGCACATGTGCGGGTACAGTACAGCAGCAATGTGAACGAATGATTGTAGGACTAGACTTATTAAATCAGGAAACAGCACAAAGAAATGCAGCCAGTCGCGGAGGGGAATGTGTGTGTGTGTGTGTGTGTGTGTGTGTGTGAATGTTTCCGGGTCAAAGGACAAGAACTTTTGCCACCACCAGTCTCCACACACGCAAAACCTTCGCGTCCACTCAGTGCAGCAGAAGCACAGACGCACGGTGAACTCAAATGAGCAGCCACCTCGGGCAGAGGTAAACAATTAGCGAGTAAGAACTCGCGTGAGAGAGAAGGTGCAACATCAAAACAGTCCCAAACATAAAGGACAATTTTGTTGTTAAAAGTGGGCAGAAAATGAAAGAATGAAAGAGAAGAGAAAAAAAATCCCTTTACCAACGACAAAAAAGTCCCAATAAATTAGACCAAAAAAAAAAGAAAAAAGGAATCCATAGCAATAAAAACAGAACATTGAGACAAAAAAACAATAACTCAGTTGCCATTGTCGTTCGCAGGAATCCCTTTAGCAGAAGAGACACACACACACTTTGAGGTTCAAAGTCCAAAGTTCAAAGTTCAAAACAGCAGACGACATGACAGGAGAGGAATGATCACCAGGGACTGCTTCAGCTCAGCCAGACGCACGACCCAACAGTCCAACACACACACACACACATTCTCTGCAAACTACACATATATTTCTCTACACACACATATATTTCATTCTAAACACGCACACACACACACCTTACACACACACACACATTCTCTACACACACACATTTCTCCATACACACACATTCTCTGCAAAAACACACTCTTTACACACATATTCACTCTACACACACACACATTCTCTCCACACTCAAACCTTCTCTACATACACACACACACACTCACATATTCCCCCCCCCCCCCCACTCCTACAGCATCTCCATAACAGAAGCTGGCCTCCTACACGATTCACAAACGAACAAATCAAAACTTAACATAAATCTGAAATGAGTTAAAAATCACACTAAAAATGAGTGACGACTTGTAATAGAGTCTTAAATCAACCTCAGAAATGGAACATTATAACTGAAGTCTGTTTGCTTTAACTATCATCATAAAGTACTGTACGCTGAAATATCGACTGAAGTTTGATATGCACACATCAAAAACAAAAAAAAAGACTTGAAGAGGCATCTGGATGGGTGTAAAATATCTTAACAGAATGAACGACAAACAAATGCTTACTAAATCAATGCCTCAGACACAAGAAAAACAAATTATTATATTGAAAGAAAGCAACATGCATTGTAACAAGAATACCAAAACAAAACAGTTCACTTTGGTGTCGAATCAAGGCCAAGGCATGACATCATGAATAATTAACCAAATATATTTAAATGACATTAATCTCATAAAACCTTGTCAAAATCAATGCATAAAATCATTTCGACAAAAACTTGCTAAAAAAAAACCCAACAAAAAGAATACCCCAACCCTAAAGTTTCCTCGCATTTCCAAAATGGTCAAAGGTAAAGCTTTATCAAACTGATTGCTTCAATTCATTCGTTGATGTGCGTGGAGGAGAGATCGGAAACATGAACACTACGCACAGCATGCCCCGAGACACTCAGTCACACAAGACATTTTCACACCCCACACTGCCACACACAATCTCACTCTGTGGCACACACACAAGCACTGCAACATTTACACACCCCACACAGTCATACACAATCTCACGTTGTAACACACACACACCCTCACAGTCACACACAAACACTGAGACATTCACACACCCAACACTGTCACACAGATTCACACTGTCACACACACACCCTCACACATTCTCACACAAACACTGAGACACTCACACACCCCACACTCTCTCACTCAGCCTCATAAACACACCAAATAAACCAAAACTATCATTGGCAGATAGAAACTTGAGAGAGGATAACTCCCATCACAGATAATTTTTGCAGCAACAAGTGTGTCTATTTGTCTATTTCAATCACCATCACCACACACAAACACACACAGGAGTAAGACATTCCTCACATCTCACACGAGTGACAGAGACCGAGAAATGAGAATTCTAATCAAGGCTACAGAGAGAAATGAGAGTTCTAATCAAGGCTACAGAGAGAAATGAGAGTTCTAATCAAGGCTACAGAAAGAAATGAGAGTTCTAATCAAGGCTACAGAGAGAGATGAGAGTTCTAATCAAGGCTACAGAGAGAAATGAGAGTTCTAATCAAGGCTACAGAGAGAGATGAGAGTTCTAATCAAGGCTACAGAGAGAAACGAGAGTTCTAATCAAGACTACAGTGAAAGATTGACCGAGTATGCGTTTTACATCACTATCAACACGATATTGGTCCTATACAGTCAGAAAGAGCAGTGGCCTACGATGTAATGAAATGACAGAAAGTGTAAGGGAAAATGCAAACTGTAGACCATCAAATGAGGAAAAACTTTGTAAACTCCTGACACAGCATAATAAATACAAGTTTTCGAAGAGAGCAATGAGAGAGACAGACATCAGACTTTTCAAAGACATTTGCTGCACACTTTTTACCCCTCGTACAAACCCACACCAGAGCACACAACACACATGCACACACACATACACAAATCACAAACACACACGCATACACAAATCACAAACACACACGCACACACACTCACATACACACAGACACACACAACACACACTCACATACACACTGAACACACACTCACATACACAGAGAAAAACTCCTCTCTCACAAAATCTCAGTACGCGTCTTCACACCACTGTACAAAATAACAAAATATTGGAACACGAAACTTTGGGGCCAACTTTCTGCTTGGCTGTAGAAGTAACAGAAACGTTCTACTCTGACAATGTTTCCCTCTAACCACTAGGTCTGTAGTGCACACAATAACTTTCACCTAACAGAATCCTGTGGAGGGCTGAGAGTGCGGAGACTTTAGACTTACTCGCACACTGATGAATGCACTGTTGAATGCACACTGATGAATGCACTGTTGAATGCACACTGATGAATGCACTGTTGACACGACACAACCATCAAAATTTGTGGATACGGATGGGATGACACCTTGTAAGAGGTAGAGGTGAAGGTACCCATATGCCATACTGCCGTACGCTGACAAACTGAAATGCCTTTTTAAACGTTCATAGCAGTTCTGAGATATAGGGCATTGTGTCAGCGTTACTACTGTTTTAAAAAACCATTCTTCTGAAATTTTAATTTTAATTCAATAAAAAAAAGCAGTCACAGTTTCACTTTGATTTTTTCCCACACAAGCAGGGTCATTGATCAAGATATCGATTAGCAAATAAAAAAATAATTCGGTGCCAAATTTAAAAAAAACAAGGCGTTTTGTCAGCTTATGGCAGCACATCCTCTTATTTATCTATCAGTCCCACATCCAGCCAGAGCAATCAGCATCAATTCATTCCATTAGGAAACATTTAGGATTTTAGGAATGTGCTTATGCCAGAACACAAACGTCTTCGCTGAAAAAACCCCCAATGTCATCAGCAAGACATCCATCTGGCAATTAGATCTCTCCTAAACCCGTCTGCTGGGACGTTTCAGTAACCCACTTTCAGCACTTTTCAAGGACCCCCGGGAGAGTGTTGAGTTCCTGCGTGCTGTCGGCATCGCTGACCGTTTATGAAGCCACAGCGCCAGAAAAGAGAGAGAGAGAGAGAGAGAGAGAGAGAGAGAGAGAGAGAGAGAGAGAGATATCTCTCCTATGTCGACAATTAAATCAGATTTTGCTCTTCCTAATCTGATAACTTATATTCACGAAACACACCGACGGACAAGATATCTTTCTCAGGAATGTGTTCTCAGAGAACAACATTATCCTGAAAAGAATATGCCAACCTGAACGTTTATGCGCAGCTACGATTTCAGACTTCTGCAGAAAAAAGCGGCCTTTTTATTATGCAAATATGCCTATTACGAATCAAACATTTCTGGGAGGCAGTGCGACCCTATCGCTAACGTCTATAACATAGAACCTACATTCCGCAAAGCATAAGTGTCTCGTAAGCGAATATACACAGGATTTTCACAGAAAGTCATTCCCATGCTGAAACAGATTTATTAAAAAAATAAAATTAAAAAAAAGTGAATTCAAGCAAAATGTGAAATCTGTTCAGAAATGAGTCTTTTCTTCAGATTCCAGCAAAAGTGCAACAAACACAACCCCCCCCCATAACAAACGGAGCAATCCGGAAACTAACCTACAAGTAAAATGCCTCTCCTCTTCACACGAGAAATAAATTACAACAGATAAATGAAAAAAACTGGGCCAAACTCAAGAGTGTCAAATCTTTTCTTACAACACAACTCTGGTGACACGTAACACAAAATCTTTTTCTCTCTTTTTCCCCGGCTTTTTTGGGTGTCCAAGTGTGTCGCTTAGAGCGTGAATAACTTCTGAATTATCTAAACTGGATACGTCATCAGTAGAAACCAACAAAAAATCCGCAACAATATCCCCTCCCTCCCTCCCCCCACCAACCAATGTTTAAATCATAATTTATCACAATAATATGCCTCTGACGACGCATTCATTATTTTTTTTGCACTAGATACCACACACTCACAAACTACACACTAAGCACATCTAAGAACGTGTATTTACAATCTGTGCCGAGAGAAGTAACAACACATTGAAGAGCAGAGGCCTACTCAGTCTACGACGATTGGCACGCCAAATCCTGCACAGCAGTTTTTTGTACATTCATGAGGATTTATTTTGTCTTTGGTCATAAGTGGAAATAATGCTAATAATAGTACTCATAAGAATTTATTTTTTCTCACTAAAACAGTTCATGAATATATGAATATTTATGCTCTGGTCTTACTGTGACCATGAAGGTGAGCCATAAAATTGCACTGATGGTTCATGCGCTTGTAAAAGTAAAACTTGTTCTATGAAAAAATAATATCTGACACTATAATATATCGAAATCAATTATGAGACATGGTCAGGAGAAATTGTAAATGCCTACAGTCACAACAACACACTGGTTTTCTCCCAAGATTCACTTACACATTTTCACAGACAGTCTCCCAAAATTCACTTTGACATTTTCCCGATCAAGGCAGTCTTCCAAAATTCACTTGGTCATTGTCCTGTTCAAGACAGTCTCCCAAAATTCACTTGAACATTTTCCCCTTCAAAACAGTCTCCCAAAATTCACTTGAACATTTTCCCCTTCAAAACAGTCTCCCAAAATTCACTTTGACATTTTCCCGATCAAGGCAGTCTTCTAAAATTCACTTGGACATTTTCCCGATCAAGGCAGTCTCCCAAAATTCACTCAGACATTTTCCCTTTCATCACATCTTTTATCAGCTTCCAAATTGTATGCCCAGAAGAATACACCGCACCTCACCGCCACCTCTATAAATACTCTACTCCACAGTTAAACTAAAAATATTTCTACAATAGTCAGATCTAGTTGCCTATCCTGCTATCATGCTTTTACAATGTACGATGGGAAGTGGCACCCAGCATGCACCACAGCCAAGCCTTGAAGCCTGACCCAAGCGATGGGAACTCGTTCACACGGCAAAGCCCGCCAGCTCGTTGTTACCGAAATCTCAACCGACTTTAGCGGGTTGTTGCTGAACCACACAGTCATTGCTCAATGGGTGGGACTGTTAATTAAATTTGGGGCCACCAGGGTAACAGAAGAGCTCACAAACTATCCACCTGCTCACCATCCCCGGTGAAAGCACAAAGTTGTGTGTATAGCCACGAGAGGGCCACCTCCACATCTGCACAATCAGGACTTGATTAAAACAACACATCTGAACATCTCTCTTACTTTTGATCAACCGATTGCTTTCTCTGTGGCATACAGAGGCCACGTCCTTTCGCTGCTGACTTTCTAGTCTTACACTGGCTGTTCATGGTAAATGCATGCTGCTCACCTCCTGCACCAAAGAATCCGCTGACTTGAATTTAAACAAACTGGATCCTTGTGTACTACACATACACCGACCACAGGCGTTTCAACAGCCACTGGTCACGGACTCCAGTATGGAGCGTCAGCTGAGAGGAACTTGAGACAGTTTCTAGCGGGTTGTTCGCTCGAGCCGCCAAAAGTAACGGTGGAAGAAGAAATCTGCTCGTTGAATGCCCGGCGCGCACAACAAGGTTTCTTCTCATGGCGCCTCACGCGTCTTCCAACGTGGCCGCAACAACGGAGGCTTGAATGATATGAGGAGCAAAAACATAATTCATCGTCGCTAACGTTGGGCCCATCATCAAGACAGTCGACACTCGCTGCCCTTCAACTGGGCCGTCTTCTCCTGCTCGTCTATAAGCGAGTCAACGTCTGAACGAATCGACTGTACGCCCGGCGACATGTTGCCCTCCTCCACGGATTGGCTATCGGCCGACGACCCCGACACGTCCAGACTGAGGCTCGGTGCGGCAGACGTCTCCACCAGCTTACTCAACACGGCGATCTCCTTGCGGATTGTTTGGAAGAACGGTTTGTAGCCCAGGCTGGGGACAGAGGTAGCACAAACAGGTCATATAAGTGTTGACTATTAGAGGTGTCACTATTTTTGTTTTTAGTAGAGGTTTTACGGTGCTCACAACTGCATGAGGTCATATGGGTGCCAAAGAGGTGTTACTAGAGAGAGTAACATAAGAAACAAAAAAGAAGAGATAAGGATGACAGATGTTTGATAGGAAAGAATGAGCAAACCCTACTAGGGCACCCACCAACTACCCAAGTAGAGATTTGAGAATTAAAATATCACACAGAAATGTGTCTTTAAATGGAAATAAAAGGTGCAGACCAGCAAAAAATAAATCTGATAAAAATTTCCAAATGGGGCAGAAAAATATCGGGTTTCTTCTATTTCATTTTTTGCGGAGCGACTGACGCCACACGTTTGCTAAAGTAACTTTTGCACTGACCACTCTGTGTTTGATAAATCAAGCTATCACTGACCACTCTGTGTCTGATAAATCAAGCTATCACTGACCACTCTGTGTTTGATAAATCAAAGCTATCACTGACCACTCTGTGTTTGATAAATCAAAGCTATCACTGACCACTCGGTGTTTGATAAATCAAAGCTATCACTGACCACTCGGTGTCTGATAAATCAAGCTATCACTGACCACTCGGTGTTTGATAAATCAAGCTATCACTGACCACTCTGTGTTTGATAAATCAAGCTATCACTGACCACTCCGTGTCTGCCCAGAGCTCCAGGAAGCTGAGCCCCTCCCTCATGCGGGCCACCATGTCCAGCGGCGTCTCGGTCAGGCTGGCCGTGTTGACCACTCGCACCACCGCCATGGCGTCCCGCAGCACGATGGCCAGGATGAGCGCCCACTCCAGGCAACCCGCCTCCGTCATGATGTGCAGCAGGTACCTGGCGCGCGCGGACAAGAGAGTCAATCAATAAAATGATAAATAAATGAAATAATAAATGAATGAATTACACTTTCTTGATCCCCGTGGGGGAAATTCGAGATACAAACATGAAAGCATATAAAAAGTTCTTGGGGAAAAACAAGAGACGTCAGTTTTTGGACAATCTAAGTTGTAACGTGGGTTGGAAGGAAAGTGTTTTCGCACCTCTTTTGGCCCATCTACGCTCGTGTGTGTCCAGGAAAATAAGCAACACTATGGAAAAATGTGGGCAGTCAAGCATTTCATTTTTGTTTTTCTCAAAATTCTAAAAAGTGACATGCCTTGTGCCCTACATATTTGAGCACACAAATATATACACACAAAGAATATTCAATGTTCACTATTACACAAATGCAGAACAACCAAAATTTACAAACATGCCACTACTGGTCGCCATCATGCAGCGCCCTGTTTTTTGAGCAAAGGTAATCGTGTTCTGCTCAAGGACACACACCCAGTGACTACCCATCTACAGCCTGTGTGTCACTGACACTAGCTTGACATTTCTTGTGAGTCGCAACTCACTAACCACTCAGCCACAGGAGTCCCCACAATCACTCACACAAAGTCCCCACACACACCCACACATGTACACCTCACACACACACGCACGTACACATATACACTAATACACACACTCGAACACACACATACACTCACACATCCCACACTCACACACGTACACCCCAAAACACACTCCTTGCCAAAAACAGCCCTCCCCCACACACACACATAAACAGTCCCCCCCCCCCCCCCCCCATACACACACAAACAAACACTTACTCCAACTCCAGATGAGCCTGCTCGGGCCCGCGGTGCGTGGCCACCTCCTGCGACATCCCCTCAATGTCCAGCGTGAGCTGAGCGTCCGTGCCCAGCACCGCCTCGTTCACCACCTCGTAGTCGCCCAGCAGGGAGCTCGAGTCCGAGATCTCGATGGTCGCCAGGCTGCTCTCGTCAGCTACCAGGTTTGAATAAACGAAAAGGAAGCATATGACATCAATAAGGGTCACTTACTGCTGTGGGGAAAAGCAAGAAAGACAGGAAAAACTACAGAGGGTTGGAAAAGAAGAAAGAAGCAGAGATAACAAGTGATACCGTACAACCACTCGCCATTAGCAATGAAAGCTAAAAATTAAAGCTGTCATTGGTTTTTAAATTTATTTGTTGAAGGGTGGGGAGGAGAAGAAGGAAGGGTGGGGAGGAGAAGAAGGAAGGGTGGGGAGGAGAAGAAGGAAGGGTGGGGAGGAGAAGAAGGAAGGGTGGGGAGGAGAAGAAGGAAGGATGGGGAGGAGAAGAAGGAAGGATGGGGGGAGAAGAGGGAAGGGAAGAGGAGAGATTGGAGACTTACAAACTTCATAGTTTTTTTTGTGTGCATTTTTTTCTCATCCCCCATCTCAAAGTCCTCAGATAGATAAAATATACAGACTCATATATAATTATGCGTTCACACTAAAAGCACACAAACACATAATCCCAAAGTAGAATATAAGAAACTTCCCAGTTCAACTTAACTTTCTCAAACTGATGATACACGGGATAAACAATGACAAAAACACATGTCAGATGTGCTGCACTTTAATCAAATAAATCAACTCATATTTCAAAGCTATTCACATAACTCCCCCCCCCCCCCCGAAAACAACTACACATTTGCTACTCACTCCTTGAGATAAATCAACTAACTCTTCGAGTTAATCACTCACAAAACAAACAAACAACAACAACGACAACAGTGACAACAACAACAACACCACCAACAACACAAAACACCTACACCAACATCAACAAAAAACACCACCAACAACAACCCAACAACACCACCACCAGCAACTACACTAACAATATCAACAACAACATCATCACCAACACCACCAACTACAACAACAACAACAACTACAACAACACCACCACCATCAACACCTTTATCCCCAAAATAACACCACCACCACCACCAACATCCCCAAAAACAATACCACCACCACAATCACCAACTACAACAACACCACCACCACCAACAACATCCCCCAAGATAACACCACCAACACACGAAAAACTCACTCCTCAAGTACTGCGGCCGGAGAACGATCTCGTCAGAGGCGACCTGCGAGAGGACCTGCTCCGACAGCTGGTGCCGGAGGGCGGGGCTGGCCATCTCGTGGGCCGCGGTGGGCACCAGCGTGGGCTCGCTGCAGGACAGACTCGACATGTGGTCGCCCGCCGGGCCCAGCAGATCATCGTCGAGCAGGGAGGAGGACAGCGATGACGACGACGCTGGAAGGTCACGGAGACAAACCCCAAAAAATAAAATACAGAGTGAGTGCTGCTGGGGTTGTTTTTGTTTTAGTAGAGGTTTTACGGCGCTCGCAACTGCATACGGTCATATGAGCACCAGAAGAATACAGGTGTCACAAGAGAGTAACAAACATTTAAAAAAAGAAAAAAGGGAGATAAGGACGATAGATGTTTGATACGAAAGAAGGAGCAAACCACACCAGAGCACCCGCCAACCACCCACTGCTGGAGTTGTGTTTCCAAGGGATATGTTGCTACCCAAGAGTTACCAAGTTCACACTTTAGTTTTAATAAGCGTTTTACGGCACTTGCAACACAATAAGGTCATATAAGTGCTGAAGATTAGAGGTGTTACAAGAGAGTAACGAATACAAAAAAGAAGGAGGGGAGATAAAGTCGATAGATGTTTGATAGGAAAGAAGAAGCAAACCACACCAGAGCACCCACCAACCACACACGTACATTAACAGAAAACAGGAATCTGCACAGAACTCTAGAAGAAGAAGAAGAAGAAGAAGAAGAAGAAGAAGAAGAAGAAGAAGAAGAAGACTGCTTTTACCCTTAAGGGTTGGGGAGAGACAGCAACCTGTGTGAAAAACACAGAAGAAGATCCAACCAGCTGATAACTGGCACGATCAACAAGCCAACCCTTTCATGGATCCTGAAGACAGGGGAGGAGCAGCTGTGGCATTGTACCGCCTGCAAGGATACCTATTCTCTAACCAAGCAATTAAAGTAGCTAACCCACACATCAACTTCCAGGTGCACAAGTGAACTTTTAGTCTAAGTAAGGTTTTACGGCGCTCGCAACTGCATCAGGTCATATGAGCGCCAAGGGGTGGATGTCAACAGAGAAGTCCAAACGGGGAATTAGGCTTACTCTGCTCACCTCTCTAGCCTCAACAGCACAAAGTCTGCCTCGACCATCAAGGCACCCCGGAAATAGCGGTTAACAAGAGAGTGACAAACATACAAAAGAAGTAAAGGAAAAATGACGATAGTACGGATGAGAAAAGAAAAAGCAGCAGTTCCCCCTATGTTGTTCCGGCACAGTATGAGTATGACACTGATAAATCAGGCCATTTACAATACTACTGTGCATAAGAACATGTTAGTTAGTTTTAGTAGAGGTTTTACGGCGCTCGCAACTGCATAAGGTCATATGAGCGCCCGAAGATTAGAGGTGTTACAAGAGAGTAACAAACATAAAAAAGAAGAAAGGGAGATACGGACGACAGAGGTTTGATAGGAAAGAAGGAACAAACCACACCAGAGCACCTGCCAACCGCCCACCACAAGGACACACAAGCAACACTCACCGGCGTGCGACTTCTTGAGCTGATGTAGAGCGCTGGAGGACAGGACGGGCATGGGCCACTCAAACTGGGCGTGGATGTCCCGCAGACCTGTGACAAAGTCCTCTACCTTCCCCGCACGCACCCTGAAGGGAGGACACACAAACGCAGTCAAAGACAGACCCACGCACACACTCCATCAAAGACAGACCCACGCACACACTCCGTCAAAGACAGACCCACGCACACACTCCGTCAAAGACAGACCCACGCACACACTCCGTCCAAGACAGACCGACTCACACACTCCATCAAAGACAGACCTACGCACACACTCCGTCCAAGACAGACCCACTCACACACTCCACAAAGACACACACTCCGTCAAAGACAGACCCACGCACAAACACAACACTGTTATTTACCTCACTCTTAATATTGCAAAAGCCTGTATATTTTTCCTCAAACCAATTTTTATCTGATTTCAGTAAAAAGCCCTTTATACAGTGGGGTCCATCCTAACTGAAATCTGCGAGACCACGTGATTTTCTTTGCTTTAGACGAGTTCTTGGTATAGAAATTTACTAAAATGGAAGAAAAAAAAATTTGGGACATTGTTTTCTTTCAGTGAACCAGTTTCAGATTATTCTCGTTCTGTTTAAGCGGACTCCACAGTAGTTAAAGAAAAGATTATTGGACGATTACTTTCCCTTGCTTGAGAGCAACATGCTGTACTAACTGCAAAAGTATTTTACCGGTATTTCTACTCTCATATAGCCCAGTACTTCTAGAGTCTCATGTAGCCCAGTACTTCTAGAGTCTTCTAGAGTCTCATATAGCCCAGTACTTCTAGAATCTTCTAGAGTCTCATATAGCCCAGTACTTCTAGAGTCTTCTAGAGTCTCATATAGCCCAGTACTTCTAGAGTCTTCTAGAGTCTCATATAGCCCAGTACTTCTAGAGTCTCATATAGCCCAGTACTTCTAGAGTCTTCTAGAGTCTCATATAGCCCAGTGCTTCTAGAGTCTCATATAGCCCAGTACTTCTAGAGTCTCATATAGCCCAGTACTTCTAGAGTCTTCTACAGTCTCATATAGCCCAGTACTTCTAGAGTCTCATATAGCCCAGTACTTCTAGAGTCTCATATAGCCCAGTACTTCTAGAGTCTTCTAGAGTCTCATGTAGCCCAGTACTTCTAGAATCTTCTAAAGCCCGGAGTATTCCGGCACTCTCGTGTCCCGTTACCGTTCTCTCTTGAGCCAGGACACCAGGTGGAAGTCCTCCATGTTGGCAGAGAAGTAGCCCAGCGTCCTGATCTGATTGGAGGCCAGCAGTTTGCGAGCGTGACGACACAGGATCATGTCGATGTACACCTGCTCCGCTGTCGGCTCTGCCTGTTTGGGTTTGGACGGCCTGGGAGGATGGGAGATAAGATGATAAGGTAAGGTAAGGTAAGATAAGGTAAGGTAAGATAAGGTAAGCTGTTTAACCCTAGAACGCTGAAATAAAAGCCATCAATTTATCAAAGCAAGATTATTTCATACCAATTAAAAGGTTTGGAAGACAATTTCAAGTAAAAGAGTAGCATTTCATACCAACTGAAAAATGTTTAAAGTGTCCCGCGTGCTCATATGACTTTACGCAGTTGCCAGCGCCGTCAAACACACACACACACACACAAAAAAAAAAGACAAAAAAAAAGGAGTAGCGGTAGAGGAGCTTTGGGGAGGAAATGGCGGTAGCATAAATTCGCTAAACAGCAGAATATTGCGAGCCGTGCTCACCAGTCGACCAGCCTCTTTCCAGCGCTGATGAGCGAGTCGGACATTGTCTGTTTGGCCTTCTCCTTGGCTGGCCAGTTCATGTCGCGGGGCTCGGCGATGCTGGCCGTCCTCATGCGGCCCACGTTGGACACGTTGCCATAGTGACCGGTCGGAGACAGTGGGGGGCTGGCTGAGAAGGCGGGGTACGTGCCTGACCCCGAGCGCAGGGAGATGGGGTTCGTCATCGAGGGTATGGCGATGGGCGAGTCAACGGCGTCGGAGGAATCTGGAGGTGGGGGTTGGGGTGGGTGGGTTGTGAAAAAACAAAAACAAAAACAAGCAACAGGCAACATTACTTTGGGCCCACTTAAGAATAATTATAGCATTTGTTTAGCGCATAACCCCACTAGACAGCAGGCTCTATGCGCTTTACACTATAATATTACCCCAGCAGACCATAGAACACTCACAAACATTCTCAGCTTCCCGGGAAGCATACGGTGCAAGCAGCTGATTAAGAGCTCAAACACTAACAAACTGACTTAACTGTCTACACCCTGCATTTATCCCTCATTCATGACCAACTTTAACCAGTCTACTTTTTATTTTTAAGTTAAACAATGCTTTCTTCACCCACTTTTTCCAATACTTCATTTTCACGACTCAAAATGTGAGTTGTGAAAACACTATCTTTTACTTTTCTAACAATGCTTCCTTGACCAGCTTCTCACTTACTTTCCGAATCAACTCCCCCACTGCTGGAGTTGTGTTTCCAAGGGATATGTTGCTACCCAAGAGTTACC